CTGTGGTGACAGGTCGTTGAGTTTGACGCGGAAGAGAAACGCGCGTCAGCACCCATCCGGCTTTCAAGGATGAGCATCTTGGCCCATGACGGTGTTTTGGCGGCAGACATGTCCCGGAATGCGTACCGTTGTCCTCCTACGCCAGCGCCAAGGTTGGAGAGAGCTCAATGTTGCTATTTACAGGGCTTGGGCTGCCGGGCTGCCGCGTAGCTATGCCCGAATAATATCCCGGCGCGACTGCGCATGAGCGATCGATAGTCTTGCGGCCCAGACGCGCAGAATGGGGACGAGGATGCCCTGGCCAAGCGCATTGCCTGGTGGAGCGGTCCACTGGCCTTTGGAACCAGCGTGAGGCTACCGAGTAAGTGATGCTGGTGGTTAGTCCACTTGGTCGCTGACGGGTCAATTGTATCCACTGTTGATGACCTCTGGAGCTGGTGTTGTGGGCTCTAGCCAATGCCAATGTCAACTGGTGCAGTCAGACATCAATGTTCCAGTCTGGTGCTACCTCACAACATGGGAAGCTGATTGTCTTGGCCGTCTCATCGCCAGCGTCTCTCTCCCCTGTCTGGCATCTGCCGCCGGGGTCTCGCCGACGACGTCACCTCTACCCATCTGCTCCGTCCAAACCCTCCTCAACTTTGTATACCCCAGCATCTCCATGCCAATCTCGTCGTGTCGATAGCATCGAATCAGTGGGTGAAGGGCTACGGCACCGTCGTCTCACCACCAGCACTCTGTTCCCAAGGGGTGGGATTCGACGCCATCGAATTCCCGAGTCCAACATGGCCGCGCCCAAAGCCCGCCGCAACACCACCATCATCGCCGCGCTGTTGTACCTCATCTCTATACCATTCCTCATCCTCACCCTCATCGGTAATACGCACGATAGGCCCGTCTTGCGAGACACCTACTTCTTCAAGCTAGACGTTGCCCAAATCATCCCCATTGCCGTAGCAAACTCGGGGCTGCTCAACTCTGTAGCCAGGAGTTTGGGACTGCACGACTTCTACCAAGTTGGTGTCTGGAATTTCTGCGAGGGATACAACGATGTGTATGTCCATTTTTCATTCGCGCCGCCTCCCTGGGCTCGTGTGCTAACCTGACCCGAAAGCGGCATCACGTATTGCTCGCCGCCCAGGACATTCTACTGGTTCAACCCAGTCCAGATTCTCGTCAGCGAGCTTCTCGCCGGCGCCAAGATTGCCCTGCCCTCCGAGGTCCTGACCATCCTGCGGCTGCTCGAAATCGGATCCAAGGTCATGTACGCCTTCTTCATGGCCGGCACCGTCATCAACCTCGTGCTGCTGCTGGGCACGCCGCTGGTCATGCGGACGCGGTGGTTCTCGCTGTTCCTCTCCCTGCTCGGCGGCCTCTCGGGTCTCGTCCTCACCGTCGCCGCCATCATCGCCACCGTCATCAGCGTCGCCGCCAAGATCGCCCTCACGGCCCAGGACCAGCTCAACATCAAGGCCAACATCGGCGTCAAAATGTTTGCCTTTATGTGGATTGGAGCCCTGGCCACCGACTTTGCCTTCTTGCTCCACGCCGCCATGGGCTGCTGCTGCAAGCCCGTTCGCGGCGGCAGCGGCAAGTCGCCCAACGAGCCATCGCCCGAGGGCAGCGCGAAAAAGCCAATGACACACCTTGAACTGCCTAGTTTTATAAGACGGCGAAAGGGGGCTTCCCCAGCGTCATAGCACCTCGCATTGTCTGTTTTTAGCTGCTCATAAAACTTGGCGCCCCAGGATGAAGAGCTTGGATAAAGCCATCATGATTTGCACACTGGTTTTTTTTTTTTTTTAATTGAGGTCCTCAGCGTCGCACTTACACTAGAATACAAGGAAACGCAATATAAACTATATAAACTGTAAGACGGTTCTCTGGCTTGTACAAGACATATATCCACAATACGATGCATCGCAATGCTGTCTCGTAACTGTCCTTGGCTGCCTTGGCAATAGTCACAACTATGAATTACCACGTACACTTGGCCACCTGCCCAGCATTGCACCACACACTAAGCGGCAGATGGCAATTTTCAACCATGGTATTACATGTCATGGCACACATGGAGCTGCGATGCCACGAAGCACGGCAGTTCGGCACAAGTGCAAAAACTTGACTAAATATAGCGAGAATAAAATCCTAGCTGAAAAAAAAAACAAGAGAATCTAAAAAACCATATTTATTTATTTAATTACACTAGCTAGCTCGTAAAGCCCTAGTACTTCTACGGCTAATACTTATAGGGAAAAACATATGAAAGCCTACACATATTAAAAAAAGATGTAGAATCTATCAAAAATATGAAGGACAAAACACCCCTGATGGGCACGCTTTTGATCCATGCCGACACCCGAGATACCCAACACGGCATTCATGCATGAAATTCTTGTCCCTTAGACGCCTTCCCCTTGTGGCGCGACTGTGCCTCCGGATCGGGTTTCTTATAAGTCCCGTCAGGCGCAGACTCCAAGGTCGTTTTCCTCATGCCGATAATCTTGCCCCCCAGGGCGCCGCACTTCCTCACGCCAAGGCACTTGTTTATAGTCATGGCCATGGCCTTGAGCGAGTTGTCGTGGATGGCATCCATGGTGATCCAGTTGGGATACATGTGGTCCGTGAGGGCGTCCCAAAACTGGTAGTACAGAGTCCTCCACGCGACGCCCGCGAGGGTGATGATGGATATGCTCGGGATCACGACGCCCTGGCCCGACTGGGTGATGAGCCAGTCCATGTTGTACAGCTCCGAGGAGCGCGAGCGGCGGGCCTCTATCAGCCCGGCGACCTGGTCCTTCACGAGCGTCTGGTACGCGTTGGTGTTTGACCAGCGCGAATTGAGCGGCAGGTTGTCGCCCGTGACGAAGCCCTCCTGGCGGCCCGGGAAGTGCTCCATGGTGGCCCACGACGTGGGCACGCGCACGAGCAGGCACGACTTGCCCTGCCTGCTGGCATTGCTATTGATGAACCAGTTGAGAGGGCGCCTGGAGATGTCCGTGACGTTGGACACGTCCGCGCGGTGGTTGAGGCGCCGGAGTTTGTCGTACAACTTTTGGCGGCCCTCGTCGTCGAGCGGCTTAAACTTCCTGTCGCCGTCGCGCGTGTCTGTGTCGTGGATGTCCCAGATGTACATCTCGCCGGGGTGGTCCGCCATGAACTTATTCTGCATGTCCACCATCTCCTCGAGGCTGGCGCCCAGCACGCCATGAAATATGTTGGCGACCAGGGAACCGTGATGCTCGTAGAACTTGCCCCGCTTGAGGCCTGGCCGGACGTCGAGGACTCTGATGCCGCCCCTATCGAGCTGTTCGTAAAGCGTGAGTGTCTGTGTTTGAGTATTGAAGGCCGACCCCCAGCCGAAGTCCTCCTGGCTCTTCCACTGCCCGGCATGGTGAGAGCGAGGCATGACAATTTCGCGTAGCGGCAGGTGCCCAATCTCGTGAAGCTGAGCCTGCATCCAAGTCGAGGGCCCGTCGTTGGAAATAAAGTCGCCCTCGACGCCGGCAAGAATGAAGCCGCTGCCACCCGAGCGTGGCAGGAATCCGAGATTGTAGGTCGTGTTCCTCTTGCTGTAGATTGTCTCCAGGTTCTCCAACAACTGAACGGCAACCGTGTGTTGCCGCCCAGCGAGGTACTGAACTTGTAGAGACATGGGCTTGCTGGTTCCTTCGATACGGTATGTCGCCTCGCCAGCGGTATCGGTCATGAGATGCTTGCTAGTCTTGACGGAGACGCTGGTGGCTTTCCCTGGCTCAATGTACTCGGGCCATTCCTTCTCCCATTGCCACAGCTGGTAGGAGTGGTTATAAGTTTTAAGCCAGCGGTAAGGCGTGGCGTTAATGAGGCCAATGTGCGTTTCGTTGTAGCGTTCCAACTGGAAGAGGACCTGACGAGCTTCGAGATCGCGGGCATCGAGTGTCCTCTTGGTGGCGGACATGTCTCTTGCAGTGGCAGCAAGTCCAAGCATGGCGTTGGCAGCCTTGACGATTGCAGCCATTTTGCAAAAGTGATTATTTAAGGAAAATCCTTAGAAGAGTGGGCTAGTAAAATGCCTTGAAGAGTAGTTGTGTGTCGGTTTGATACAGAGGCAGATTTGCACTCCGAGACTGTTTGCTTGATTTAAGAGAGCGACAAGTGATTTTGAGAAATGTTCAGGGCGTGACTATTGGGAGATGGACGAGAACATGGATATTTATCTTGGAAGAGAAAGGGCGTTTGGTTCTTGTAACAACTCTGAGGAAGTCATGGTGGCCGCCTAGCTTAGGCTATGCACGGTAGAGTTGCATAGACCGGTGGCTTGCGCTTAGATCTGAGGTCAAGTTTTGTATGGGAGAGTCGGCGGGACTTCTGGCCGGGTACATCCAACAAAATATCCATCGTCAACTAACGAACATACTTGTGAGTCCTTGACTTTGAGTCTAGTTAGTTCGTGGCGGCCAGGGGCGGCTTTAGCCCCTGCCTTCCTCGATATAAGTTTAAGCCTGAAGTTCCGTTGTTCTATCGGCGAACCCTAAATCTTTTGAAATGTTCCCAAACGCACGCGGTTTCCAAGCCGAAAAGTGACGTGCCACTATCGAAGAGGGACCCATGTGTATCCGGTGTTGCAGTTCGAGGTTCAGTATTCTGGTATAAGAGGACAAGCCGACTCTTAAGCGCAGACTTTGTACGTCGCATTGTAAAGCCAGTGAGGCAAGGCTACTGAAGTTTAATATTGTGCTAGGGGCATTGGCTGTGTGCTGCTAGATTACTCAACGTGGGCAACAAGGCAGCTTATGTTTTTATCAGCTCTCGGGGCAACCAAGCAGAGGAGATACATCAAAGCAAATCTCGTAAAATCGTCGTGATTATTAACATCGTACCAACGTTATGCAGTGAATGCAGTGTTCCTGAAAGGGGCCAATATTAGTCCACTGCCGAACATAATGGCCTTTTGACTCTAATCGCATCAACACACAAACCCATCTATGCCCTCAACTCCGTTCGTGCAGGAAACAGTCTCAAGCATGTGGCACAATGCCGGCCATTAAATCCTCATCCTCTATTTGAGAATCAAACCCAATGCCGGCATCTGTATTATCCTTTTCTGCCCGCTTCTGGTCCTTGACAAGATGCTTGACATATTCCTTGCTTCCACTCAGTCGGTCATTCATCAGTTGGTATTGCCTGCCAAGCAAGTCAATAGCGGAGTGGCTCTTTGCGATTTGTGTAGCAAACTCTGCTTCAGACAGTACATCCCTGTTCTCTCGGAATGATATGTAGTTTTCGTTGCCGTCCTGTTCAATTTGCCCATTCAGCATGCCTGACTCAATCATACCGCCGACTAACGAGAGGACCTCTCCGTCATTGGCCAACGGCCTTCCTGTCAATGCATTGAGAGTCATCTCTCGGACTTGCGATATTTCAACTCGTTGATATACTTGGCGTAATCCAATTATCTGCCACTTTTGATACGACGAGAGTATCTCAGTAAGGAGATTGCTCGTCCCATCTTCTTCCCAGAGTGTCGCATTTTCCTCAATTAGGGACTTGAGCTTCGCTGCATCGCCGCTGCAGAAGGCTTCCGCTATGGCAGCATATGACCCTCCTGTAATCTTATAAGACGAGATGGCGGATGCTGATGTGTAGCTGGGGACTGTCGGAATTTTGCCCTGGCTTAAAAGTCCTACCAAGATCCATCGCTTGTGACTTTCTACCATAATTTTGCTCACACCTCCTATCCTGGACGGATGGGATATCACCTGTTCCAACACTATTTCGGCTTTGGACCACAGCCCCATAGACATGTAGGCAAGTCCGCGAATGTAGTCGTATTCCAAGACGGCCGATTGCTTGACATTGTTTGTCAATCCTGTTTGCGTTGAAATGTACGATTCCGGCGCTAAATTCGGCTCACACAATAGTCTACCGTCTTTGGAGTGGCTCATATCAGGATAGAAGAGGATGTCACGATCAAAGACTTCCAAAGCGGCGTCAACGACATTTGAACTGTATGCGAGCTTGGCCAAGAGGAGATGCGTGGAGGTAAAGAAGGTTCCGCTCGGGTCGATGCGCAGCACGGCACTCGATAGCAATGCCACAGCTGTAGCGGGCTGGAATCATGTCAGCTGGCTCGAATGTTGGACAGTGTCAATTGGTCTTACCGGGAAGAGCCTGCCGCTCCCTATTTTCTCAAGAAGTGAAAGCATAGAGTGCCCATAGTACCGAATTTGTATGGCATCAAAATGCAGAACAAACTCTACTACCTTGTCAAGCAGAGTTGCTTGTGAAATCGGTGTCGCGGGATCGGCTAGCTGGAGAAGGATATCCAGAACGACGAGGTAGCCGATCGAGTGTACCGCGGGGTCAAGAGTCTGTCAATGTGTCAGAACTGGAGAGGAAATAGTCATCTCGTTTCGGAAGAAAAATGGCATGACATACTTCAAGCAAATGTTCTGGGTTGCTCAAGACAGCACGTCGTATTTCGGCAAAAACATTGGTCAGTGTGGCTACATGTTGCCTAATGGAGATGTCATATGCCTTGGCAGCGGAATTTGTAGAAGGCTTAGTGACAGGAAGTGCTGTCAAAATACCATGGACGTGATCCATGGCTTGTATGTGTCGAACCCAGAGAAGGTCGAGCGATGGCGGTTTCAGCAGGCAAAGGTCGTCGGGGTTGAGGCCGAGCTGGAGGGGTCGTGCCGCTGAGCGTCAAATCAGTAGCACGGCGACTTCATGCTAGGGTCCAGGCAGGGTCCTTGATCCGTTGTAGATGCGCGCCGACATGCGCAATACTGATGCTGATGATTCTGAGCAAGAAGACGTATTGTTTTTGTGCAGGAACAGATGCTTGGACGAATGTGGCTGCCAGGTACATATGCAGGAAGTCGTGCGAGAAGGAACATTGAAGCTGTCTGGTGGTCCTTTACCCCGTATTGTAGAGCTTGGTGGTTGGTGATTGGACGATGGATTGAAACAGACAGTGGGGTAATTAGCACCAAGTACTTGTGTACGGAGGACTAATATTGACCATAGAAGCTGGCACTTGGGCACGCTGTGAGAGCAACAGTGAACATTGGAAGATTAACGGTACATATACCTACTACCTTAGGTACCTAGGTACTCTGTACAGTACCTAGGTACTTAAGGTAGGCACCTAGGGTAGGTCTCTAGCCTCTGACATCTGGAACTCAAAACTTCGAAACTTCAAGAGCTTCGTCCCGAGTACAGAACACCAGCGCCAGGAGTTCCCCTGAAATCAAGCACAACGTTAACAACCACACTGCCAGGCTAGGTCTGAATCAGTCCTACCGCTACCACCCGTCAGACGGCAGGGCACAACATCTGGGGCACCATTTCTCCGGACGCAGGCAAGGCAGACGCAGCCCTGTCAGCTAGTTCCAGCCCCCAACACCCCTTCAACAAACATCATTCGAAGGTGACAAGGTTGACAGTGATGATTCTATCCAGGGCTGTCTCCAATGAACCGTTGGAACACCAAACGGCATCCACAACGTCAATCTCAAGGCCTGCGTTTGCCAGACTGATGGGCTTAGAGCAAGGGCAACAGTAATCCAACATACCCTTTTCAACGGCAGGTGAACGAGTAATCAATCCCACCATCACCACCGCCAGCAAGCCTCTGCCGACGATCCGTGGCTGAATCTTCCAGCCCTGCAAACCACTTCCCCCTTTTCATTTGATAGTACTACTACTCCGTACTCCTATCAGCGTCAACCACGCGATGCAGCCCCGCTAATTGTCTCAGCAGATCTCTGTCTCTTAATCTACGGAGTAGTTCTTAATAGCAAAATAGGCCAGACCGTGTGCGTGCATTTGAATAAGCACAGATACGAAAAACGAATTCCCGCGCCCAGCCTCACTGCTGGTGACAGGTCATTCGACGTGTGTGAAATTAAGGCTGAATCGAATCGATGCATAAAGGGCGAGATCCAGCTGCTCATCATGTAGAAACTCGGGGACTTGGTCTTCATCCTCTTTAGCTTTTCGCTCCCGTTGTCCAGCCCTACACGAAGCCAATTCTTAGCATGAAGCCCTTTGCCCTTCTCGCTGTTCTGTATCCCGTTGCCATTCTGGCTGTCCCCGGTGACCCATGCTCTGCCGCCAATGGCTACGGAGATGACTGCATCTGTGTTACCACTGAAATCTGCCAGCAGTACGAGGGCAACGCCATGACTGGATCTCGAGGCAAATACCCTTGCCCAAATGACCCGGCAAATGTCATTGGTTGTGTAGTCAAGCCCTGCCACAACAGGAGCAGTAACACGCAGTGCCTCTGGAGGGACGCATGTGATAGTGAAATGAAAGGTATCTATCACCTACCGCCTTGTGAATATTCCTAAAGCCCTTTGTTACATGGCTAATAAGACGTCAAGTCGCTTCTTGCCCCGGCGGCAACGACTTCATCTGCTGCAACCATCATCTCGATACCGCCGGTCACTCGAATTCTACTACAACTAGTTCTGCCATCACCATCACCAGCTCCGGAGACACCCAGACTTCCACGGCTGCTGCCACAACAAAGAACAAGGCGTCTATTACAATTACGAGCAGTTTAGAGACGACAACACCCATAGCTTCGTTGACTTCTGCCCCGAATACGTCAACCACATCCCCTGCTGGGTCGTCACACGCCACTTCTCTTGCCACTACTACCTCCCGTGCCGCAGGCACCTCGAATGTTGTTGCTATTTCAGACCTTTTGGGCGGCCTGGCCGCAGTGTTTGCTGCCTTGCTATAAAATCAAACCCGAGTTGGGTTCCACAGGGTGCTCAAAAAGCAGCATGCAGCTAGCTGTCTCTAAGTGAAGGCGAGAATAATAGTAATGATATCGAGGATGAAATGAGCTTTGGGAGAAGAAGCTCATATACCTAAGTATATAAAATCTGTTTATATCACAGTAGCACGTGCATCCAAACTCGCATCATATCAAACAGTTGGCGGTGAGGCATGAAACAAAATCTGCTTCAAAGAAATCCACGTAGCATTTCCGCACAGCATCAACACATGTCCAATCACCATACCGAACTCTTTAATTTGCCATCTGCCAACGCATTCGCAGCACCTTCGCCAATCTTCTCACTGCTCACTTGCCTCCTAGCTCTCGAGCAGCTCCACGCAAAAGGCACCAAGTCCCTCTGTCCTCCCATCCCGCTTCCAGTCCCTATCGCGAAATCAGCATAACCTCAGATAATCCAGCACAAAATACAAACCGTGCTTTTGCATCTGCCCACCTGAGCCTCTCCCACTCACCGCGCTGCCCAACTCACCACCCTGTCTCCCTTCCGGCCTCCTGACCTGCCCATTATTGAAGGCACCATAAAGATTCCCACCCGCCATGCCGCGTCGACAAGGGCTTCCACTTGTGCGCTCGGAGCGCCATAAGTCGGGTCTTCTCCTCCACCATAAGGGGTATCCATGAAACAGCCCCAACGACCACTGCGTAGCCGTATCCGACGGCATCTCGTGCTTGAACCTGCACCCTCGCTGTGTAAACGCGCATACCCCTTCGTGGATCCATTTGTCGCAGAAGATCTTTTGCCTCGACGCGGCGGGCGGCCGTGTTTCCGGTTCCGCGTGCTATTTCTCAGAAACTTGTCAGCCAACTCGGGCGTCGAGACGAGCGAATATGGAGAAGGAATATGTGAAGAGTACCTGAGCAGCATGTCCATAGTCATGCCTTTGGCCCGTATTCGCCGTTAAAGGCGGCAGAATCACCATGTTATCATGCCTCGTCTCTCGGGGAGGCACGTCGTTCATCGGAGGGAGCCTGTCTGCCGGGAGCAGTCTTGTATATTGCCCGTTACCTCGGTCTAGGTAATAGCCGTTGACGTTGGCTGAATGAACGGAGCCACCTGAGGATCGGGGTGGCGCCGGCAAGTTCAGCTCCGCGCAAGACTGTCTTGTCTGTATCATGGACTGAGGGCCACGGTCCTCATTGTGACGGTTGGCCCATGGTGCTGATGGGTCATGAGGTGGCTGAAGATTGTTCATTCTACTCGTACTGGCCGTCGTAGGGGTGCGTAAAAGTGATATAAGGTGCGAATGATAAATAAGATGATACCACATTCCATGTTAATAAAAAAACTTTTTTTTTAAAAATAAACAACTAAAGCATTAGTGGTTGGTAAAGTACGCATCACTCGACAAACGCACTCGTCATCTACGTTGGCTATGCAACTTCCCGGATCCACGATGCGAAGGCACAAGTTAGTATGACGCTGTTTGCTCCGTTCAAAAGGCGGTCTAAGCATTCTGGCGTCCGAGATCACTAGGTCCATACAGCGTGACAATCGGGAGTACCGTTTGTAATGAGATTTCTATTCACTTGGTCGTTTCCGTTTCCTTCCCGTAGCTAGATGAGCAAGTGCAGTTAAGTTTTGGGAATATACAAGTCTAATCCTGCAATCGGTGGTAACCCCTTAACCTCGCAAACCATGCTAAATGTGTGGCCTAATATCTCAGTTCAACCAGACCCACGTCGTTGTTCTTGCTGATTAATTTGTTGTAATCTCGTTTCCAGCATCTGCAATTGCGTAAGTCTTGAGTCTTCTTTAACTGGGAGATGCTGAATAGTATCTATAGCCAGTCGTATACTGGATTCGGAGAGCTTCTCTACTGGAATCCGTAATAGAGCCCAGGAGCGCCAGGTAAGTGAGGGTTCAGCATGTTGTCTTGGTGGCTGAGTAGATTGTATTCTTGAATACGATAATGCCGGAGATCCGGGTGTCGCGCCAACAGACCCTATTTCTGCTGCCGCATTGCTTGGGCGTGTTTGGGCCTGGGGCGGGACAAAGGGGTCAGGGGCAGGGGAGGCGGAATAGGCGACCCCATTGGAGAAGTTTCTCGGATGGGATTCGACGATGCTGGGGAGGTTCGTGGCGTAAGGTGCGGGTTGGCGGTACGTCTTTTCATTTGAGGGGACAGAACCGTGTCGCGGGGGCACGTAATTCGGGTTCCTGTATCTGAGTTTGGCCTTTTTACTGGTGTTTTTGGGGATACTACCTTTTTCGAGGGCTGTAGCGGTTTGCAATGTTTGCTTCGTCCGATAGGGCTGGGCTTGGGTTTTGGGCTGGTAGACGTGGTCTTGCCCCTGAAGCTCGTCTTCACTGAAGTCGTGCGCGGTTTTGATTTGGGACGTCCTGACGTCTTGGACACCTTGGATTTTGATAGTCCGTTGTTTCGTTGCAAGGTCATCGAGGTCGTTTTCTGCTGAGCTCGAGTGTCAATCTTCTTTGTTCTCGTGGACTGTGTTGTTGGGGTGACTGATCCGGTTTTTGGCTTTGGAGAAGTCGTTCGCTTTTTACCTTCTGCTTCATTGTCCTCGTCTGAAGACGAAGAATCGGCGCCGGCGAAGTCATCAGAAGAAGAATCTGAGGCATTAGGCGCAGCGCCATCCTGGAGATATTCGGCTAATGCATCGGGCTTGTAGTTCAGAGTCTGTGGGTGTTAGCTATGACCCTGTCATGAGCTTTCAAAAAATACATACTGTTCGGCGTCTTTCTCCTCTTCCCAGCCTCTCTTGATTTGCTTCGGCGTGGCGGCGAGCCTCCTCTTCTCTTTCTGCAAGAATCTTGTCCCAGACACTGGAGGAAATTGGCTCGGGGGCTTCAGCCTCGGCAGCTGCTTCCAATTCATCTTCCAAGTTTGCTTTATCATTCGACCAAACCTTGGCATAAGTGAATTGAGCCTCCGCAGAGCCTTCATCATCAACCTTTGTCTGCTCGGTTTGAGATCGGTCTAGAAGTCTGTCAATAGCAGGTCCATCGTAATGTATAGCACCTTTTTGATAATCATCGCTGAATAGTGCCTGTGCGCCGTGGGCTAGGATGGACTCCAAGTCATCCCCAGCAATTTCATCATCGTCCATGCTTTCAATCAAAGCATGATCGAGAGCCATCTTCTTCTTGCCAATCTGCATGATTCGCTCCTCAACTGTGTCCTTGGTCATAAGTTGAAAACAAAGCACCTTCTGCTTCTGACCAATACGGTGGGCCCGTGATAAAGCTTGAATATCTTGATGCGGATTGAAGTCGGGATCCATGATAATAACTGTGTCCGCTGTGGCCAAGTTGATACCGACACCTCCCGCTCGTGTTGATAGTAAAAATGCAAATATCGCAGAGCCTGGCTCGTTAAAAGCATCGATGCGACGCTGCTTTTCCAAACTTGAAAGCTGCCCGTCGAGTCGCCTGTATTGATAGCCAATGCCAGCAAGAAAATCCTCAACAATATCTAGCTGTTGGAGAAACTGGCTAAAAATCAAAACCCGGTGTCCCCTCTCCTTCAGCTTCGGAAGCATTTGTTCCAGAAGCAGGAGCTTTGCCGAAGCTTCCACGAGATTGCGATGGATAACGACTGGGTCGTCGTGCTTTTCTTCAATTGCTTCAGAGTACATGAAAGGGTGGCAGAGACACTTGCGAAGTTGCATCAGAATATTGTTGAGGGATCCTCGCTCCTTCTTGTTCATCTTACTGTTGGCAAAAATCGCTTTGATAAGCTGGGGGTTTTTTGCCATTATACTCTTTGAGAGCTTTTCCTGAATTACCGTCATGGTAACCGGCAAAATAATCTGGGCCATTGGGGGCAGAAACTTGAGAACCCCGGCCTTGGTCCTTCTCAAGAAATATGGCCGAATCTTTTCATGAAGCCTCGGCAGAGTCTCTTTATTGAGGACTTCGAATTCCTCGTCAAGTTTCTCGGCACTCTGCGAATGGTCGATAAATTGAATCAGATTGAACAATTCTCTTTTGTTGTTTTGCAACGGAGTTCCAGTCAGCAGCAATCGAAAAGGGATCTTCATGACACGCAGGGCCTGGTAAAGCAAACTGCGGTCGTTCTTGAGTCGCTGGCCTTCGTCGACAACCAGGCCTGCCCACTTAACAGAACTGAAGCGTTGACTAGTTTTTGGGTCCTGGGTGGAGTCATAAGACATAATAACGACGTGAGCGGCCATTTCTCGCGATCCATGTGGGAAGAGTTCGTGCTTGTACGCGAGGTCCTGCGACTCCTGACCCCCATGATAGGTGACTACTCGCAGCTCCGGCGCCCATTGTTTAAACTCTCGACGCCAATTCGGGCATGTTGCATTTGGGACCGAAATAAGAAACGGCCAGCACTGTGTATATTTTAGCCAGTGGAATATTTACAAAACTGTGGTGTCAGATTGCTTACCCTGGGCTTTTCTTGCACAAGGTACACCACCAAGCTGATGACCTGAACGGTTTTGCCGAGTCCCATTTCATCTGCTAATACGACGCTTCGCCCGCTGTGAAAGTTATTTAATAGCCAGTTCAGACCTTCTAACTGATATCCCATCAGTTTCCCTCTCTTGAGTCCGGCTGGTTGAACCTCAACTTCCTCGAGCTCTTTGTCTTTGAATGCTTTTATACGCTCTCTCATCCTGCTTTGCGAAGAGTGCTCAAAGTACTTCCCAGCAAGATATTCTTCATATGCAACTTTGAAGGCGGCGTAAAGTTCGCCCGAGTTAGTCGATGGTGGTCCGTCCCATACCACATCATCGTACCCGAGACCCTGGAACTTTACCAGTACTTTGCTGATGTATGGGAGGTTGTCTATATCTTCTTGCCTGGAGTTAGCTCTCTTTACGGCAGAGTCCAGCTTCACCCGAAAAATGATATCGATCATCAGGTATTCATCGGGAATGGCTTCCTTCTCAGTAACTTTGAATAAGTCAACTTCCAGGGCTTTCTTTGCAAAACTCGCTCGCATTGCAGAAGCCGCAACACCGAATACCCACGCGCCTGGCATCCATGTGCAGTGGAAGTATGACATGCCCTCCCATTTGACTAGATATTCCTTGTCATCATCAGAGAGCTGTGCAAAAGCTGGACGTGCTGTGCTGGCCGTGGGTTCTGCTCGCCAGGCCACAAGCCGATGGATCTTTTGTTGCGCCAAAGTGCATTCATTGCATTGCCAGTCGATGGAGTAGTCCTTAAGTGCTCCAATCTCCTGCTCTCGCCCAGGACTTGGGCTACCGATCAAGGGTAAATGATGCTGGTGCCAGCCTCGGTTACAGCGAGTGCAGCGGAAAAGAACATTTTTTGAATTATTGACCAGTTCATCTGGCACACTGGTGATAGGATCGACTCCACCGTTCTGTTCTCTTAATTTCTCTTCTTGCCGGGCTGTCTGCCTTTGAGAAAATGGTGCGCAAGAACGACCTGCCGTCTTGCAGGATTGGCACACTGAACGTCGTGGGGCTAGAGGATCTTTCTTCTGATGTATCTCAATACAGAACCGGCACTGTAACACGAAATTGGCTTCTCCCACTTTCGTGACTAGATGCTCGCGCGCGCTTCGAATACCGATGCAATGTCTGTGGTAGGAATAACTACAACCTTGGCAGTAGATAATCTGGCTTCGGTTGTTAGCACTGCCACAGGTATGGCACGTGTTCGTGTGTACGACTGCAAAAGAAGAATCCGAAGATACAGGTCGAAAAAGTTCCTTGACTGAGGCAATCTTTGGAATGCCAGGCTTCTCTTCAACTTGAGTAAACGAGTCTTCGTCCAAGTCGATGTCATCCTGCATATATCTGACATTTTGCATAGCCCGGGACGATCGCCTGGGCGGCTCAAATTCTATATCGGAGTCAACAGCACCTCTTCGTGTGGACGCGCGTTTTCGGGCGGGAGGTCGCCGGGATCGCAACATAGAGCCCTTGGTTCTACGTCTAGTGCCGGCGATATCAGAAACGACTGGCAGAATAAAATCGTCACCGTCTTCATCTCTTGAGCTTCTGGAGGGGCCATCATGTTCTGCTTCCTGAAGTGACGCTTGCGGAAACCTGGGCTGTCTCCTTCGAAGGCTACGTCGACGAGTGTCCAATATTACAGCGTCGGAGTCGTCACTAGTTTCTGGATTTGATTCCGTCGCATTCCTCGAAGTGGTTGGCTCTTGAGTTCGTTGCCTACGGCTGCGGCTGGCTGCGATGGGTTCATTGGGTTCTTCCGCATCCATGTCGGTATCCAGGTCCATGACGTCTGAACCGTTGGAGCTACTGCCAGATTCCCAATCATCGTTAGGCGCAGACTTGCGCTTTCTCCCAGTTCGTTCCATTCCCATAAAATAGGTTTCAAGAGCCTGCGAGCCGTTTTCGAATCCTTCGAGATTCAACAAAGGGATCTTGGTGCAGCGTTAGCAAATGTAACGGAAATGGAAGAACCACGAGAAGTGTAGTGGCAATATGAGCCAGTGGTAGGTTGGAAGTGTGCTTCATGCCATTTTTGCACCGCCTATTGACGGGATAAAGCAGCTGCCTTCGTGGTCAATGTGAGCGTTTGCTGATGTGTTGTCACCTGATCCACAAGGATGAGAGAAACAATACATGTAGGGCTATCTCAGCATCAAATTGAAGTGAAAGAATAGTGAGAGGTCGGGTAGGCTTTCATCGGGGCTCTTGATTAGAGACAAGGCAGTGGGAGCGTTATGATGTGAGGCCGCTTATTGCGGAACAATAAAAAAGCACCATAAAGCTGTGTGACATACCATGCATTGTGTTCCGTCTGTTAACTCTACTGTCAAAAGCTCTCCATCATCCGGCGAAGCCGTCAGGTCCAATATCCTCTCCACGGCATTACTATGCACCTCCTGGTATTGATCTCGGACATCGGACGGAATAAAAGGCAAGGAAACCTGAAGCTTCTGGCCATGATACATAATATCAGTCTCCTCAACCTGCGGTGCTCTCATCTCCGAGTCAGCTGTTGATGATTGCCCGATAACTTCCATAGACGCTACCGGCGCCAAGACCCGTGCCTTTTCATCCAAAGAGTCTCGAATATTTGATATCGCGTCGTTGCCTGAGTGTTCTGCCGCTTCAGGCACCAAGTAGGACGGGTTTTTATTCGGCCGAGAAGGCAAATCGGACACCATCAAGCCATACGAGTTATCTTCTGATGAACTCCCATAGCCAGATCGGTTAGTCGAAAAGTCAAAAGAGAATTTCTCCTGTGATACATGGTTATCATGGCTCAAGCCTACTGCCTGTTGGCCATTAGGCAATATGTCATCGCCATCCTCCATTTGTAGCCTGTCGTCGATCCACAGGCAATGACGATAAGGAGATAGATGATGAGGTCCAGAGTCCTCCACCCTTCTTTCGGATCTCGGACCTACTTCGTTTCCGTAGGCCTACAAAAATTGGATTGGTTCTCATGCTCTGAGAAGGAAATGTCGTGGCTCGTGGTTTCTAATGCTAATAAGTAACTTCGACGCGACTTAAGTGGACTCATGGACTCATGGCAACTTGGTGGGCTTGGCCTGGAGCCAATCACAGACGCCTATTAGTCCTTACCGCCTTCTTTACCCCTGCAATTGGCGGCAGAAAAAGAGGAAGGAGCCTCACTCGATCGCGTCGGAGACAAATTTCGTCACATGCTTCGTACTCTCACGTATTACATTTGGGCTAACGCGGCGGACTATTACAGTCGCGTATAATGCCATGATAAGGGCAGCAAGATGGCCAGCTGTTGGTCAACGCTGCATGCTACGTCAATCGTTACATAACATCCCAGCGCTCATTGTCCCCCAGTTTGTCCGCTGCGCAAGTTTATCCTCTATACATCGAGGGCTAAAACGATCCGAACGAGCGCAATTTGGCGAGTCTCGTTCCTGGACGGCAACGCACGATGACAGAAGTCACAGCTTTAGCCGAATTGGGCGAACAACGAAGGCTTTAGATGGCGCTGCCTCTAAACGGCAACAGCAAAAACTTCGGAAGAAGCTTGATCGCAAAGCTTCAGAAATTGGTGACGAAGACGACGTTGGCAGGCAGACCAGGAGGAAGCGGTTTCTTGATCCGGAATTCTCTTTTGGGAAAAGAAGTCTGGTATATCAATTGAAACATGGCCTGCTGAAGGATACAGCCGCCTCGCTAGATTTGGAGCAACCGGTTCGGCCGCGACACTTCCATGGGAACGACAAATTGCCTCGGCGAAATTCTCGAGACTTACAATCCTACTCACGGCCTCAAAGCCCGCAAAACCCGCAAAAGCGACGGCCACGGATAGAAAACCGCGAAGATGGCACTATCGAGGATGCCATAGCGAGGCCAAGAAGGCGCGGCATGTTGCCTATGACCATCACATATACTACTGCGGCATCACAATTCCTATACGGACGATCCGTTGTCAAGGCAGCGCTGCAACAAGGAAGGCGCCAACTCTACAAGCTATACGTTTACGGCGGAGAGAACCGTAGAGGTGTCGATGACAACGACGTCATAATAAACCTAGCGAAGGCTCGCGGTGTCCCCGTTACTATTGTGCCTAACGAAGACCAGCGATTAATGGACAAGATGAGCATGGGCCGCCCACACAACGGATTTGTTTTGGAGACATCGCCTCTACCGCAGCTACCTGTGAAAGCCCTAGGCAGCTTGGAAGAGTCGCCCTCTAAGCTGGGGTTCCATATCGAGCTTGTGCATCAAACCATGGAACAAAAGGCCATCAATGGAGAGAATACATTTGTGCCCAAAGCGAATAATTCTGCGATGAAGCCACTTGTACTTCTTTTGCATGAAATTTTGGATCCCGGAAATCTCGGTGCTCTACTCCGTACTGCGAGCTACATGGGCGTTGACGCTGTCGGAATAACTAGCCGCAACTCATCAGCATTGACACCTGTGGTGCTCAAGTCGGCGGCAGGGGCAGCTGAGGAGGTCACCATATTCACAGTCGATTCGCCAATCGAGTTCCTAGAAGGCTCCAGGGCGGCGGGCTGGAAGACTTATGCTGCAGTGGCGCCCCCAGAGTCGAAACTGCTCAAGATTCATGGCGACAAATTCATATCGACGGACTGTGTGGAGCAGACGAGCCCCTTGGATCAACACCCTTGTGTGCTGGTGCTTGGGAATGAGGGGCATGGTCTACCGAGACAAATCAAGGTTGCTGCGGATTTTGAGCTCTCGGTGCCCCGATTTGTCCAGGGAAGCTCTGTGGACAGTTTAAACGTTAGTGTTGCTGCTGGATTACTCTGCCACACATTTGTGAAGGGCTCGGCGAGGAACAAGAACCGCGTGAACCAAACCCCCGAAGCAGATTCGTCAAAGAGAAAAGCGGCTGAGGAAACAAGCGAGCCTCTCTTCTGATAAGTTTTGGGATAGAAAAGCTCACTATACCTTTACATATTATATTAATCTTGTACAGCTCCTGTATAACAACCACTTTACCTACCTAATAGTAACTCAATAAGCTGGGTGTTATTGGCCCATTTTCCAATCTAGAGATGCTAACCTATAGGCGGGCAGTAAATGACATTGGTAGAGCACGAACAGCTTTAAATCTGCTGTCACAAGTTCACAACCCTGAGAAGAGGCCCTGGCCGCCATTGTTCGTTTCCAAGTACACATGTACCAAACATCACCCAACAGCCCACTGATTGGTCACCGACGTACATAAAGTACTTAGTGTGACCAAACCCCTACTGTAGAGGGGTCAGGCCCTTGAATGTCGTCAGCTCTATGTTGGCCCGACGTGGCGCCCGTGCAACATTCCAGAGGATCAATTGAGACAGCCCAGGACATTTTGAGCTTCAATATCTGGCGCAGATGCATACAACAGGAATCAGCCTTGAGCACCTTAAGTTTCTCTGCCATGTCATTTAGCAGAGGATTTTTCATCCATCCTGGGTTGTGTCGTGGCTTGGCCCACGTCTGCCGTGATGCTGGTTTCCCCAGCCACCGTTTTTTGTTTATTTAAAATTGGTTTCGCGTGCATCTCGGATCGGCCCAGCACCACCGTTACAAACGTCCTGCACACAGTAGATCTTGCATCGCTCTATTTTACAGCATTGGAGGCACAGTTATTTAATACATATCACGGCTCGAGTGACATTAAGACTCACGCTCTGCATCTTTTGGACGGCGTATAACCGAATGCCACGACAATGGCCCCAGCGTCTACTCTGCTTCTACTTCCTGCCTCGTTCATAGCTTTCGTCTCACAAGCTCTTGCAGATAATCGACCTTTTCCAATCGCTATCAAGAAGCAGTCCCCAGGCTCGGGCGAAAAAATATTAAGAGAACATCTGGCATTTGCGCCACTCCTCCAGGTTGAGCCAGGAGTTGTATCTTCCTTCGACGCGCCGTCAGATGAACCACATCAAAACGTCGACGGCACTTCTCGATTCTACCCGCCTTTCGTAAGACACATCCGCGAAACCGAAGATAATGTGTTGCGGCGTGCAGCAGAAGCTCTGGCCTTGTTGGAAAGGAGATCATCGTGTCCTTCCGGGATGAACAGCTGTGCTCAGCAGGGATCGCCCAACAAATGCTGCCAGCAAGGAACTTATTGCACTGATGTGCCCGACACTGACGTAGGCCATGTCGCATGTTGCCCCAATGGCTCAACATGCGGCGGAGGAGTTGGATCGTGTCCGTCCGGCGCGGCAAGTTGTGCAGCGGCTTTGGGCGGCGGCTGCTGCATTCCAGGATACGTTTGCCAAGGTGTGGGCTGTAAGTCCTCCTCTGCTCGTCCTCTCAACTAAGAATTGCATGCTAATATAGCTACGCAGGCGTTCCAAGCGCATCGGCGACTCCTATCCAACCGTCCCAACCACAAGAAACCGCCACATCGACGAAAACAACAATGGTTGGAGGGAGTCCGACCACAGTCATCGTAACAGTTACTCAAACTGCTTCGCCGGAAGCGACGACAAGAACTACCACACAAAATGTCACACCTTCCGGCACAAGCACCAGCGTTGGTACTAACACGAAGATCGATTCTGCCACAGGAAATCCTCCTTGGCGACCAACAGGTTCTTCTGAAATCACGTCAGCTCCCGAGAGCACGTCAATCACACAGTCCGGCTGCCCAACAGGCTTCTATGGATGCCTTGCCACCCATGGTGGAGGGTGCTGTCAAACTGACCGCGACTGCCATACGTATTCATGCCCGGCTCCGTCTTCCACGACTTTGCTCTCCAATGGAGCTACCATTGTTGTTCCTGCCACAGACTTGCCAAATCCTACGGGAAGCTCTTCATGTGCTGACGGATGGTTTATGTGTGGACAGAATGCCGGCCCCGTAGCCGGTTGCTGCCCGTCTGGGTACTCTTGTGGTACAGCCAGCTGTTTCACGGCTGGAGCCACGGAGACTGGCAAAATACAAAAGCAGGCGCCGGATCAGTCGCCTGCCGGAAAGACCGCCATTAGGACTTCTGCAACGTGGATGTTGGTCGTTACGGCATCTTTATTATTAAATTTTGGGTGGTAACTCACTGAACAGAAGGAATAATTGATAGACTGGAGATGCAAATGCGAAAAAGCGGGTGCAAATATGAGATATGAGATATTGACAGATTCGACGAGAGCCATGACTTGATACCAATAGAAGACGAGCCATAGAACGGACTATAGAAAATTGTACTGGGCTTTTATATCATGACCACCAAACACTGTGTTTGTTAATGGCTACCTGTAAACTCACACAGGCTTATCTTGGTGATGATACATAAAGTATGTAGCCGTGATGGGTAGTGCAGTGGATACGACGATCCGGGCGACAGACCCGAACCCAGATGCAAGGTCCCGCATCGCATTGTTGCAATATGGAGCTGGACACATTGCACCCAGTTGGTGGCACTATTTGGTCAAATACTAACTGTACCAGTTACTTGAGTACTTAGGTACTTGAGTAGATACAACCTTACTTAAGTAGAATGCACGGCTTTGGCTGGTGCCATCCAGGTACCGAGCAGGTGTGTTTTCCTAGTATTTGTGAAATATCCAAGGCACCTAGTAGATAGTGGGTATTTTGAAGTTGACTCATGCTTCAAACCTCACTCCTCACCCCTCGTCTCCATCGTCATGGAATCTGACACCATTTGTGTACGTATAATACGGAGACAGCGTGATGGAGCCCTTATTCAGAACACTGGGTAATCACCCCATTCGATACATTCTAGGTTTGTTCCGTATAAAATGTCCGATGCAAGCTTCAATTTCTTGGCGCTCATGCATAACCCATTGTTCTCTCCCACCTACGTTTTGCCCTGTTGTCCTTCCGGGCTCTCTTGCCGTT